TTTTGCAATGTATCAGCATTAGTATGGATAAGGCTGCAATACTGTGCTTAGCATGCTGCCTGCCACAATTTTTCATAAAATGTCCTTTGGATGGTAGTCCAAGGATCAAAATTTTATTTCGGTGTATTGTATCGATCACCTAAGAAACGGAAATGTTGCGATCCGTTTTGAAAAAAAATAAAAAATTTAAGGATTATTTTTTCAAAATATTGGTCAAAATATACCAAAATATCTTAAAATATTCTGAAATAATTGTGCAAATGCATTGAAATATAACAAAAATATTCGAAATATTATAGAACACCCTGAAGTATTAGAATTTCGATTCCTTCATTGATTCGTTTCGATTTCCTTGAAAACGTTTCGGATGTTTCAACTGTTTTGAAATAATATTTTGATTCTTGCCTGTGACACAGTAAAGAAAAAATTTACTGAATTACATGCAAATTTGATAATATGGTAACTCGGTTCACTTCTACTTGTTGGAGAGCAAAATTTTATTGAATAGGCCACTAGAAGCAGGATTACCATTTTTCGTTAATAAAAAAATTAGGGAGAATTACACTCAAACCCTTTGAAGTTTGTCATTTAATCACTTAGATCTCTTGATATTTGAAATATTACATACAGACCCCTTGAGGTTTGTGCGCATGTAACACTTAGACTTTTGCTGTAAATATATCCGTTAATAAATTACACTTAGATTCCCTAAAGTTTGTAAGCGTATAATACTTAGATCCTTTAAGTTTAAAATATTATACATAGACAAAAAATACTCCAATCAAAGATAGAATATCAAATATTTTAAATTTTACAACTAAAATTCATGTTCTATTGTATCATTTATTGAAATAAATCAAAAATAAAAATTCAATTTGTTCTTAAAAAATCATAGTTAGTATATAATTATACTATCTATTAGAATAAAACTAAAAAATCAAATAAGAGGTCTATGTCATTCATAATAGAACATGAATTTTACAACCAAAATTCATGTTCTATTATGTCATTTATTGAAATAAAATTAAAAATAATTTTTTTTTAAAAAAAAATTATAGTTAGTATATAATTATACTATCTATTAGAATAAAACTAAAAAATTAAATAAGGAGTCAAACTGTAAAGTACACAATGTGTTTTAGCTTTAATTGGGGTCAAACTAATTACGATTTTTTAAGAAAAATTTGAATTTTTATTTTTGATTTTATTTCAATAAATAATACAATAGAACATGAATTTTAATTATAAAATTTAAAATATTTGATATTCTATCTTTGATTGAAGTATTTTTAGTCTAAGTATAATATTTTAAACTTAAGGAATCGAAGTAATATATGTTTACAAACTTTAGGAGCTCTGAGTGTAATTTATTAACTGATATATTTACAGCAGGGGTTTAAATGTTAAGCGCGTACAAACTTCAAAGGGCCTGTATTTAATATTTCAAATGTCAGGAGTCTGAGTGATTAAGTGACAAATCTCAGGAGGTCTGGATGTAATTCTCCCAAAAAAATTATTTTCAAATACAAAAGCATGTTTGTAATGTATATATTCCTCTCTAGAAAGGATTATGTTTGATTGATCAGACCTAGTGTCACACTTGGACATTGAAGTCCTCATACATGGACAATTATGGTGTCAACTTCTTAGGCGAGAAGTTGAGAGAATTTGGAGCCAGATTAGGGGGTATGTATAGTGTGGTCATACTTACATATAAATTCCTTGTAAAGACCTACTTCCCAAAAGGTTGGACCTACATTCCAGTAGACTTGGAAAAACCCCATAGTTTTTACCAAGATATTCTCTACTACACTAAATCTATCCATACCAAGCCCATCCTTGATAAGATTAACCCAAATAAGGTTCTCTATCATAGTTTGGTCATAACCAAGATTATTTCTGTTGAGGAATGGGGTTCTCATCCTTCTTTGCTCAGAGAACTTCCCTTTCATACCAGACATTTTGTCAAAAATATTACTCTACCAGAATGAGGATTTGTCCCATTCCTAATTCTTGAATTTTCATAAAGATTTCAAAAGTCATATTCCTGCATGGTTTAAACAGTGGTGGCATCAATATGGTCCCATTGATGAAATCTTTCCACCTGATCTCAAAGATCAGATCAATATCTTCTACTCCTCTTATCGTCCTAGTAAACAGGAGTCCCCATTTCCCTTATTACTAATGTTTATTTGCAGGTACAAAGTCCCCTGGATACTCAAATGGCAATGGGAAATTGTTGGATTTAATCTAACCCGACAATTTTATGCCAAGTGGTGGCCCAGGTTTCAGCATAGTGACATTATTGCCATGGTGAAACAGGACTTCCCTGTAAGGGTCCCAACTCCAGTAGTAGTTCCAGGCCCCTTACAACCAGCAACACCAGTGAAGGAATTGCCCGCTCAATCAAGCCAGGCTAACCTTCCTATAGCACAGACCAGACCAGAAGAATCTTCATCTAAAGGTTCTAAAGGCTCCAGCAAGAAGTCCAGCAAGAAGAAGTCCAAAGCAAAACTCCTCAAGAAGCTCTTGGATCAACTTGACTCAGACAGTGACTCATCGTCTTCCCAAGGATCTTTCACAACAGATCTTCCTCCAGGATATGCTCAGGATCCGTATGAAGGGATGGAAGACTTTGATGTTGATGATCTTACTCCTGACCTTGCATTCCCGTGAATTATGGTTTACATAAAGTGGCTTCAATCACTACTTTCTTCAAAAAGAAAGAAAAGCTGTCCACTCTGTATAAAAATAATATCACAAGTCTGCATAGAATCCCCTTTCCCTAAAAGCAGGATTCTCACAGACGAAGGCAGGACCCATAATCTGTTTTTCCACCGAAAGATGGATTCTCAGGACAGACAGACAGGACCCACTAGTCCCTTCAACATGTCCTAGTTACCCGGTAAAAGAATCTTACTCCACTTTTCCGCCGAAAGCAAGAAAGTGAATTTACTTTACCCTGAGTAAAAGAGAAAGGCAGAATGATTGCACAAGGAGAATCCGGAGTCCCTTACCTCTATATAAGGCAACACCCTCTCCTCAGAAGAACCAAGGTTTTTGAAAACTTCAGACACTCTCTCTAGTCTGGTTTCAAAACCACATTACAAGCCACTAATACTTGTAAACCTACCCCTCACTTGTAAAACCTTCTTCAATGATAAAGAAGAGCTCAGAAGCCTTTTTATTTACCTCTTATTCCCACTAGACCTTTAGTTCTAGTGTTGTAAATATTTATTTTCTTGTTAAAATATTTTGTATTTATCTGTTTTTTCTATTTCCATCTATTCCGCATGTATGTCTAGTGGATGATAGAGAAGGTGAAGGAGTGAATTCATCATTCTCTGTTTGTTTAAATTCTGTATATCTAGACCTTAATGGTACACTTATGGGAGTGTATACTGGCCTAGCTACTGGGTCAGAGGAATTAGCGATTCCTTTTAACCTATGGTCAAGTTCTTTGGCAATTTCTCTGTCTCTATGGGAAACAGATGAGAAATCAGATTTCCTTCCTTCAGGAACCTGATCATGCCTGGGCGTGAACCTACTAGATCTACTGGATCTAGCAGTATCAAAAGATATTTTAACTGATCCATCTGGGAGCTGTCTGATAATCTCCAAATCAGTTGTAGTTGACTCAGTACTAGATTCTTTATCAAAATTTTCATTCTGCATGGTCCAAGATTCTGGTAAGGTTACATCTTTCCAAAGTATCTGCTTTGGAATTTGGATGTTGATCTGTGCAGAACTGGCTTGTATCAACATAGTACTTCCCTTAGGACTTGGGTCAAGGCATTGTACATTAAGATTAGTACGAATACACTTGTAGTAAATCCTGTAAATAAGTACTATGGAACTAGTGTTTTTTACTAACCTGGTAATATCGCCTGTAAGACGAATACCAAGAGTTAGTGTCATGTGTGTGTTAGGACAATGAAGGTCAAGGGTGAAGTCAGGGAAGCAGTTAAAGTAGATTGGACCTCTGTGGAGTCCTGTCTCCATGATTCCCAAGACACTTGGTTCCCAATCTAGAAACCTTGCATCTCTTAGTGCTAGTAAGGCAACAACATTTCTGCCTTGGGTGATAAGTGGTTTAATGGCCACTTGGACAAGACCTATGTGGATAAAATTAAATCCTTTAGTCTTGTGTTTCTTAAGAGTCTCCTTAGTGAGGAGCTCACAAAGCTCATCTTCTTTTCTGAGAGGATGAACTTGTTCAACAGTTTTAACTTGGTGTTCTTCACTAAAGGTTTTTTGAACCCAAGTTGTGCCATAAATATTTTTTTCTTTAACTGGAGGAATATTCCATTTTTTCCAGTCTGTTTTAGCTTCTTCTATTTCTAATTCTTCCTCATTTACTCTATGTGGCATAGAATAATCTGAAGATCTAGATGTACTAGCTCTAGAATTAGATCTGAATAATCTACTCATTTTAAAATCTGAATTGTTATCAAATTTTAAATTTATATGTAAGTATGACCACACTATACATACCCCCTAATCTGGCTCCAAATTCTCTCAACTCCTCGCCTAAGATCCCTTTCTGCCAACTCTAGGACTTACACTTGGGACAAGAAAAGACTTACGTGCTCTTGAGTGTCTGGATTAAGGTTGGGTGATAGGGTAAGATCTACTTACAAATGAATTTGAAAGATGAAACAGATAAAGATTTCAAAGTGAGTTAGATGACTCAAATGAAATTTCAGAGATAATACACCAGGCCGTCAAATGGCTCTGATAGTACAATGCCACTGGTTTTGTTGGCATTGTACTGTAAGGGAAAGCAGAACTAATTGCTAGAAATAAAAAATAATCCACTTGTGATTTTCACAATATTTTTAGCTGTGTAGATGTATTCTTAATAACACCATACCTGAACTCATGTTTTGCTGGTGTTTGACTTTCCTCGAGTGCAGGTCTTTCAGCCTTGGATCCAAAAGAGGCGGCTTGCTTATGCAAAGCATAAGCATCTATTTTCTGGGCTTTTAAAGTATTTGAACATGCGTGGACTTGGAAGGCTCTCCACAGATGAAGGCACACCTAATTACGAAGTTATAGACAAGTTAGATCTATAAAGACACTTGTATACTGCTTTTGTCACAAGCCACCGTTTTTTTTTTGACTTTATGAACAATAATTTTGTAGGATATTTAGGTTAACTGATACGAATGGCGATGGCCAACTAACAAAAAGTGAACTGAGGACAATGGTGGTAGGAATGCGATTGCAAGATATAAATTTGGAAGAAGATGATGCGGTAGAAAAAATTTTGCAAGATTTTGACACATCTCTCGATTCTCAAGTTAGTTTGGCTGAGTTCAGGAAAGGGATTGCAAAATGGCTTGTGGAGGCCAGGCGTTCTGTGGCTGGTTCTGTAACTGATGGCTCAGAGAAGCATCTGATTGACTATCATGAGGTATGTCAGTCATGTTGGCTTCTTCTCAAGCTTATTATTCCTGGGATTTGATATCATTGAAATGCATTTGCAGAAAACAAAGAGGGAACATTATCTTTTGGGTGATCAAAGTGATGAGATGTTAGAGGGTGTTGAAAATGCCAAGTGGACCTCATTTAAGGCTGTAATGTTGTTGCTGCTGGGGGCAATTATTGCAGCTGTATTTGCTGATCCTCTGGTTGATGCTGTTGACAATTTCTCGGCTGCAACGAGCATTCCTTCTTTCTTCATCTCATTCATTGTGTTACCACTAGCAACAAACTCCAGTGAGGCTGTATCAGCAATTATCTTTGCTAGCCGAAAAAAGAAAAGATCTGCCTCGCTAACATTTTCGGAGGTTTGTTTTTCTCTAAAATTTTCTTCTTAATCAACAGGCATATGGCCATTGCAGCTACTTACTAATTATTCCGGTGACAAAGCCACGAGATTTTAAATTTGGCCAGAAAGTAAAACTTGAATTGACCTTTCTGAAGGAGAAAGAAAAAAGGAAAATATCCAACCCTACCCCAAAGAAAAGGGAAAGCTAGGTAAAGAAGAAAGAAAGGGGTAATGAAGTCTTGATTTGGATCTGTGATCATTGGAATAGCCGTTCTACAATTTTGGTTGATGCATGCTTTGAATTGCTAGTTTTAATCTTAACTAACTGATCTTATATAAGTTGCCATTTAAGTGAGAAAATATACTTACAAATACAGAATCAGGATATCTACAAAAGGCATCTTCGGCAAACAATAGTGGCTAGAGACTCTGATGTTTGTGTCTTTTCTATTGCAGTTGTATGGAGCAGTATCCATGAACAACACCCTTTGTCTATCGGTCTTCTTAGCCCTCGTTTATGCCAGGGGATTGACATGGGACTTCTCATCTGAAGTGCTGGTTATCCTGATTGTTTGTGTTGTGATGGGTGCTGTTGGCAGCTTCCGCACCACCTTTCCTCTTTGGACTGCTTTGCCGGCTTTCCTGCTTTATCCGTTCTCCCTGGCACTGGTTTATGTTCTTGACTATGTTTTCGGCTGGTCATAGCCTTTGGGAAGATGGCATTCACCGGTGACTATTAATCGATCATCAGGATTTCCTTTCCTAGCTTTGCGTATGTTTATTTTGTTGGATATGTGACTTGAGTGTGACATTTCAGTGGGGTACGTAGAGTTGGTGACTTCTAAATGTTGTTGGAACTATTTATGGCAATTTTTCTCATCCTGATACTACCAGCCGCCATGAGATCCAAATGTTACTGAAGCAATTCTCTTTTCTTTTTGCCTTCTGGTGTTAAATGTTATCTCAATTTCTTCCTTGCATACCTACAATCCTTGTGAAATTCTCACATGAAACCTCAGATGTTTTTGTTATTTTTGGAAATATCTGGGGCATTATTGTAATTTTGTCACGGGATTTTCTTTTACAAAACACAAGCTTGGGTCTCTTTATAGGCAATGGCATAGTAACACTGTGTTTGGTAGATGGTAAGGAATCATGAAAATCAAATGGCTATTATCAAGTAACGTTTGTTCAGCCTATAAGAAGAGCGCCCCCCTCCCCCTCCCCCCCCCAAAAAAAAAAAATAAACTGTATGGAGGAGAGAATTATTTAGTCTCACACGAATTGGCATCAATTTTCACGCCATGCAAAATGTGTACAACACATCAATTTAGAGGACTAATTTTACTCTACATCCTCAAAAATACTTTAATTCTTAATTTTTATCCTTAAATATTAAAAATATTAATTTATACCCTCAATGTTATGAATTGATAACAATATAGATATGACCTAGATTGTAGTTTAATTTGTCGTCATCAATTGAAGTATGCGAGTTGCAAGTGTTTATGACAAAAACTTATGTGTAAATTTACATACTATTTGCGTCTCATATGAGTTGCAAATAATAGGATTAATCCTTATCTGATTAATAAAACCCTAGTTTTGATACATAAAATGGTGTCAAATTAATTGTAGATGAAGATCTATAACGATCCTCATGATTGAAGTATTTGCATTTCACGTTTTTCAATTTATGATGGAAAATTAAACGACGGTTTAGATCATATCCACATTGCTATCAATTCATAACATTAAAAGTATAAATTGAGAATTGAAATATCTTTCAGGGGTACAAAATGAGATTAGCCCTAATTTGGAAGATACCTTTCCCCACCCCTCATTCATTGAACTCCCCCTCCTCTTCCGCGGGGCCCAACTTCCCTTTCTCTTCTCTCTCTGTGGGGGCATCCCCTTCATCAGCAATCTGCAGATATATTGGAAGACAGATTTCCCCGGACCCCTCAAGAGCAAAACATGGCAAAACATAGTCAGATCTCCAGAATCCACATGCAAAAAGTGGTCACCAATTGGGGATGCTCAACTCTCAATTCTCCACCCAAGCAAATTAAACAAAAAACGCCTCAAAAATGAAAAGTACAACTAAACTTACAGTGCAGTAAAGCTTGAGAGAGTTTGTACTACAGGAAATAGTAAAATAATTATAGCTTGGTTTCTGGAGAGACAGAGAGAGAGTCAGGGGAATAACTAGCCTTGCCAAAACACCACTAGAAATAAGCTAGCTAGCTTTTTATAACTTCAAATTGAGATCAACCCTTTCTCCTTCTTCACCATTGCAGTTGCTTATGGTGGTTGCTGCTTCACCAATTCTTACTGTTGCTGATGGGAAGAAGCTAAAGAAAGATTGGTGACTTGACCCACATGATCCTCCCCTATGTATTGGATCCTCAGGGCTTCCCTGAAAATTTGATAGAAAAAAATTGAGGATTGCACAATTGAAATGAAATCAGAAGATAGAAAATTGAATTTTTATTTTTATTTTCTGTTGCTTGATCTCACTTGATTAGGTAGAGATTCGACGTTGGATAATTCTCGAAAATGGGTTCCCAGATATGGTGAAGGATCGTTGTTTTTGGAACTCAAATGTGGCAGAGAGTTAGCAGGAGGGGCAAGTGTGAGAAAATCTCCATTGTCTTTGATTACCTTCTTGGAATTGGGTTCAGATATCCCACCTGAGCTTGGAGGACCATCCCTGAAAAGAGTGCAAAAATACAATGTGAACATGTACCAATTACACTATTTCACAATACAAGGAATTGAATAGATGTCCTCCAGGGATCAAAGATGCAACTTTTGCAGAAGCAGAAACTCCTGATCAAAAAGTTAGCTGACCTGAAAAGTGGATTGCCAGGTTCAATATTAAGTGTGTCTCCATTACCACATGAAGCTGAATCATCTGATTTGGAGACTGGAGCAAAATAGGTTGGAGGAAATTTGCCAGGGAAAGAGAGTCCTGGTGGATTGTCAAGAGAAAAGGGATATGGTCTCTTCATGCCAACCATCTATAGTTCATCATCAACAAATTCAAATTGATATCTGTGAAACAAATTATACTGAATTGCACCAAGGAAAAGAACAATAAACGTTCGAAACAATTGTACTTATTTAAGCAAATAAGTAGAGTTTCCAAAAGAGAGAAACCAAACACAATCTTCTGGTTTATACGATCTTAACAAGTATAACTCATACTGCAAAAATCCATTCCATTAATCGTGGAAAATCCAATTCATTTTGTTCAATCTAATATTTATATCCTGTCTGCCTTAATAGATTACACAAATTCAACCAAGGGAAATCCAGATTACCACTAAAATATGCAGCTAAAGAGATAGAAATAACATTACCTTCTCTTCCTCCAGCCACAGGGGTGTATAGTTGTTACTACAATAACTTTGGTTTGAAGGGGGCTCCATCTGAAAATTCATTGCAGATGATGATGAAGTCCATGATGAGACATTCACCTACAAAGTCACATATCAAATTTTCTCTCAAATTGGGATTGAAAAGAACAGAATAGAAGACTAAACCACATAAACCCAGGAAAAATTTTAAGAAAAGAAAACAAGCATGCACTTGACTAACCATTGATAAAGAAGATTGTTGATGAAACTGTTGTGATCTTTGCATCATACTAGGGAGAGGCCAACTAGAGGAGTTGGATTCACAAGGAAAATTCACATTAGACCCAAAAAAGAATCCATGATGATTAACTCTACGACTCTCCCCTTCAAGATTGTACTCACCATTCCACAATTTAGGACAATTACCATGTTCTGGCCCCAAAATTGGTGACCAACCTACCTCACCTCTACCCACATTCAGTGGTTTCGACAATGAAACTGAATTTGAATGAAAATGATCAACATTTTGGATCGAAGAGGAGGGTCTAAATGTAGATTTTGGTGAAGAGAGATCGGTTGTTGCTGGTGGTGGTGGTGGTGGCGGCAGAGGGATCGAAGAAGGTGAAAGATTAGGCCTAAAATTGGGACATTGGACAGCTACACATGAAGCAGAGTCACTAGGTGAAATGATTGAATTGGGTGACAAAACACTAGCTGCTTGTAAAGCTGCATCTCTTTTTTGTTGCTCCTCTAATCTAATCTTCTCAAGTTGAGCAACCCCTAGTCCTCTTTGTGGAACCTTTTTTTGCTTCAACTTTTTTGAAGATCTACCACCACCACCGCCACCACTGCCACCGCCACTACTACTATTACTACACTTTTGGCTGTGTTCTTCTTGAGCCATTGTTGATCTCAGCCATCTAATTACAATCAACAACAGAATTTTTGAAAACGGCCCACCCCAAATAGGAATTATATATATGAATACATCCACCAAGTTACTATGTTTTTTGAGATACCCAAAATCTAAAAAAACAAAATCTGATGATTTGGAGAGTAACCCACGAAAATCTTGAGCAATTAAACGAACCAAATTCAAGAAGAAGGCCAAATCTCCACTATAGATCACAAAAAATCTGGCACGTCATGGAGTCAAGATCGGCAAGTTATATGGAAACAAGAACACCCCCATAATTCAGCAAAAGCTATGAATATTTATGGAGAGAGAGAGTCTGAGTTTCGGATTTTTCTCAAACCCAGTTGTTAGAGTTGTCTGAGACAGATCAGATTGCTATATATGAGAAGAAAAAAAAACAATTTTTCAAAATTCAAAGTTAAAATGCTATGCAAATCTAAAGCACACAATTTGAATAAATTCTGTCTGGGTAATCTCACTTTGTACCCCCAAAAATATTTTGATTCTCAATTTATATTATTAAATATTAAAAATCTCAATTTATACAGCTATGAATCGGTAATGATGTGAATTTTGTCCAAATTATTGTTCAGTTTTTTTTTATTGTAAATTTAAGCACTCAAATTACAAATGCTTCGGGCATGAATTTATATATAAATTCACATATTGTTGGGGTCTCATGTGAGTTATATATAATTGGTTTAAGTTCTATCTGAATAATAAAATTTTATTTTCAATAAAAAAAAGGGTATCAAATTGATGACAGAAAAAGATCGACAACGGTAAATATACGTCATGCTCGTGCTAGAAATATTTATACCTCACGAGATTCAACTTATGATAGAAAATTGAACAGTAGTTTGGATAAGTCCACATTCCAACAAATTCATAACAATGAGGGTATAAATTAAAATTTTTAATATTTAAAAATATAAATTAAAAATTAAAATATCATTCGGGGTGCAAAATAAGATTAGCACAATTCTCTCTCTAGTTTGTCGCCCAACTCCTCGCTCCGCTCCTACTTTCCTTGCTAGACCGACTCTCAATTTCGATACCTTGTTAGAATACAAAATTACAATTATTTAATATAAATTTATGATCGATCAATAATATTTTTAATAAGTTATAATTTTATTTTATAAATTAATTATAATATTTTATAATCGATCATTTTATTTTATGTTATAAATTTTACCTCAAAAAAGTATAAATTCCACAGTATTCTTCTTATATCTATCATTCAATGTTTTATTTTAGGCTAAGGTTGGGGTGGTTCCGATTTTTTTTGTGTGATGTTGAATAATGATTTTTTGTTATAAATTTAGAATTTTTTATTTGTAAGCATTAATTAAAAAAATATAAAATTAAATAAGATGATGAAATAAAACTACAAGTGTCACATTATCATTGGTAGAGAAAAATAG